GGATGGCCACACTGCAATCCCTCCTCCTCCATTTTCCTCTTGGAATTTTTGGGCATGCACATACACACACCCAGTGTGCTTTTCAAATAACTGGGTCTGGGATTTGAACAGCAGAATTGCCCACATGGGATCCAGCCACATTAACCACCATGCTATTGGCTGTTCCCTTGTGATCATCTTTTAATTGTGTTATTTGTCTTTTTATTATTGAACTTTTGGAGTTGTTTATGTATTCCCTATATAAGTACCTATTGGTCTTATGATTATCAAATATTTTCTCCCAATGTAGTTACTGTCTTTATTTTATTGATGATATCCTTTGAAACATAAGTTCTTAATTTTGGTGAAATCCAATTCATCAATTTTTTGTTGTTGTTGATTGTAGTGTTGGTATTATATCTAAGAAACTATTGCCTAATCCAAGATCATAAAGATTCAACCCTACTTTTTCTTCTAAGAGTTTTATAGTATCAACTCTTTGATACATTGTGAACTAATTTTTACATATGGTGTGAGGGAGGGACTTAAATTTTCAACTCAATTATATTCAATTGTCCCAGAATTATTTGTTGAAAAGACTTGTTTTCTCCATTGAATTGTTTTGGCACTCTTGTTAAAAATCAATTGACTATAACTATATGAGTTTTTTTCTAGACTCTTGATTTTATTCTATAGATCTGTCCATCCTTATACTAGCACTATAAGCACAAGACAGTCTTTCATATAGCCTTTTGTGACTTTTCTTTCTCTTAGTATAATGTTTTCAAGATTCATTCATGTTTCAGCATGTGACAGTACTTCATTCCTTTTTATTGCTAAATAGTATTGCATTGTGTGAATATACCACATTTTGTCTTGAATATAGTGCTGGTAAGAATAGACACATAGATCCTTAGCACTCTACGACTATTACTGTAACTTTGTTTATAAGTTTTGAGATTGGATATATTCATTTTTTATGTTCACCTTTCAGTGCACATAGCAAATTCATTGGAAGAGCCTGAGAGAAATTTAGGATATGCAAAGAGAGGAAGAGCATGGGAAGCACAAAATATTGGGAGCCAAGGGATTTACTACTCAGCATTTGCCCTGCCATAGCTCTGTGTAACCTTATGTAAGTCCCTTGCTATGTGTGGCCTCTGTTTCTTATCCTATAGAATTAAGATTTTGAGCCAGTTGACTAATATTCTAGCAGCATGGGAGATTAAATTTACATAGGCAAAGTTCATCATAGGAAACCCAGCTTTACAGCGAAGCATTCATAGACTTTCACTCTATTGGAATTTAGGTATGACACTGGAAATGTACATGACAATTATGAAGTTATCAAAGACTACCAATGTCATGTCTAAAGAACTCATTGGCCAAATATGGGGCACTTTGGATATCAGTAAAGTTAATAAAGGTAATGGTTATAGATGTATCAAATATATTTAAATTTATGAATTCATAAAGCTGCTTTAAAAAACTCCAACAATTTGGAACTTCTGGATTTTGAGATCTCTAGCTGAGAGAACCCCAAGTCCTCTCCTCCACTTAGCTTGCCTCGATGGCTGCTCCACTACTCTCTGGATCCTTGTGTCCCTGGAGTGTGTTCCAGTATCTTGCTTCCAGTTAGCTTTGATTATATTTTTATTCTGTGTTAATCTATTTGGAGAAGGCATGGGAGAGCACTAGACTTACTGGTAGGGGTCAGCCAAACCAGAACTGCCTGCTAACTGAATAAATAATGCCTCACTCTGATATGCACCATTGCTTCCCTTTGTTTCCAAGTAAGTAGCTTCTGTTAGATGAATAAAGCATGCATTCTCTTCAGCGTGCAGGTTCTGTGATCATATGTTTTTCCAAACAGAGGCTCGGAGATTTGGGGGATTAAAAAATGACTTTTTACTAAAAAAGTGTGGCCAGTGAGCCTGAGGGGCTGGGTGGTAGTAGGAAGTGGACTCAAGCCCTGCTCCACCTCTGCTCTTCCCCCTCTGGGCTTCAATTTCTTTGTGTATAAAAACAAAACATTGAGGAATGTACTACATGTATATGCACCAATGTGCACTGAGTTAAGTGAGAGAAGCCAGACTCAAAGGTCACATGCTGTTTGATTCTGATTCCCTTTATGTGGCTGTCTAAAAAAAGGAAAAACTACAGGGTCAGAAAACAGATCTATAGCTGCCAGGAATAGAGGGGTGAGGGGCCATTCGTTATAAAAGGGCATGAGGGAATGTTTTGGGATGTGGAATTATTCTCTATTTTGATTTTCAGTGGTTGTTACATCATCATATAAGTTTATCAAAATTGTAATAACAAGTACAAAGAGTACATTTTAATGTATGCACATTATAGCTCAATAAAAACCCAAAATATGTCCCCCTCTCTTTCTCTCTCTCTCTCTCTCTCACGCACACACACACATGCACACACACACATACACACACACACATGGACCAGAAAAATCTTGAAGGTCTCTCTCAGTACTGATATTCACTGATTCTCTACTGGGCATATGATCTAAGGAAGCGCAGCAAGAAGAGATATCCAGGCCTCATCTCATTTCTTAAACCTCCCTTTCCTGATCTTTCTCCAACTCTAAACAGTTTCTTCATGGTATAATGGTACAAAGAGGAAACATTGGCTTCTTTTGCTTGATTGGTCACTTTGGAATGATATTGCAGCTTCCAAGGAGGTACATGAGTATTTATGTGGATGCTGGACATTCTCAGAGAGCAGACCATGCCTAGACCCTCGTCCTGGGTCTGAGGTCTGAGTCATTAGACTTAACTGGAGTATTTTTGAACAAGAACTCAGAATCCAGATCCCAGTGAAGCAGCCATGAGGCCTGTTGGGCAAATGGGAATCTTTTCCGTTTTCCATCCGGGGTTTGAGGGAGGAGCCCCCAGCCTTCCATCTGCTGTTATTGAGGCTTAGTATAGGGTGAATGATTGAGGCCAGTCAAGTGACTTACAGTGAAGGAACCAGACCTCGCTGGGAAGAAGAAACCAAATGCCTTATCATGGGCAGAGATCACTGTTTGCACAGGCAAACAAGCCTACAGCCTCTGGGCTGGTGAACAGGGATGGCACTCAATGGCCAGGCTGCAGGGGAGCTGTCATTGGACAGTGATTTCGCCAGTATTCCTATCCTCATGGTCTCTCTATGCCTATCTCAGACATAGCAGTGGCTAACACCAGCACCCAATTCATGAATATTTACGATGTGGTGGGCACAGACTAAGCCCTTTCTGTACTAATTCACAGCCAACATAAGATTTTGAAATTGAGCATTAGTAAAACAAGAATAAGACTCTTATAATTTACTAATGCTCAGGCCAGGAATACGACTCTTATTTTGATTTAACTAATGCTCAGATAGAGGGTGTATGGCCTTACCTCCACAATCAAGAGTGGGTTCTGTTTTGTTTGCTGAAATAAGCCAGACCAAGTCAGGACAGCCCCTGGGCTCTGAGGAGGAGGACTGAGCCCACACTATGGGAGAATGAGAGTGGACCAAGAGCTCTATTCCAGGTGGGGCTTATGCTGAGCTAGGGTCCCCCACCTCAGACCCCTGTAAAAGAAACCAGACTCTGCAGAACTCTTTTTGGTCAGGGAGGCCTGCCCCTAGGTGTGTAGATCTGAGACAGATCCTGTAACTCCCATAGCAGGTGCTGTGGTCTGACTGCAGGGAAAGATGTCCAGACATTGGAAATCTTAGGGGGAACCAGAAGTTCATGTGGATGCTTCTGCTGAGGAAGGCAGGCCAAGGGCCCAGAGGGAACACATCCCTAGAGGACCATCTGAGTTTAGTTAGAGGCTGCACATCACAAAGAAGTCCTAAGAACAGAGGTACTCATCAGAGGCCTCGATGGCCTTTTGGAGGAAGAAACCAAGGGAAAGGTCAATAAAAAGTCCGCATAAGGGGAGGAGGCCGAGAGGCTCTCAGCCATTCTTGGGTGGGCGTAGCTCTTTGTGTTATACCTGATAGTCCCAAATCTCCACTTCTACCTTGGACCTGAAAGCAGATCTCTGCCCTTGGTGGTCAGTAGGATCATGTGCATACACAGCAACAGCTTGATAAACAACGATTTTGGAAATGAGCCAGATGGCCCTGCTGGGTGGGAGGGGCACTGGGTTCCCTGGAGATAGTGGCCTCAGTTGACGAGAATAAGAAGCATGGCTTTTTTGTGGGTAGGCCAAGACTTGATATGGACATATTATGGACCTGGGGCAGGTATGACCTTGATCTTGACTTTCTGGGCAGAAAATCATGCTCAGGGAGATGGCCCAGGGGTTGAGATACAAGCTGTTTCCCATTTGGGTGTGACTGGAGACCCAGTTGTATAACTCTTAATTATTTCTACCTTTGGGAGCAAAATTTCTGCCACTGAAGCATGCTGCTAGATGTCAACTTCGTTGTTAGTAGAGTATTACAGTGCATCGTTTCTTCTTACCTTGTTCTCTTCCTCCTCTTGTTAGCCTGACTCTCAGGCTCGAAGAGTCCTGCTGCTTTGGTGTTAGTGGGAAATGAAATTGTCGCTCAGGAAACCAAGACTCCCTGTAAGGAGCTCCATCTGTATTCAGCAGCCTCGATCCTGGGATTTCATTCAAGAGGGTATCAGAGCAGCCACTAGTTTTTGCACCTGAGCACTGACCATGGAGCACAGAGACCACCTAGCCAAGGGGACACCAGCAGAGGCAAGGGCTTCAGCTTTCTGGGGACACTGTTCCCTCAAACTAGCAGACTGAGTCTAACACTCTAGAGACCTGGCTTTTCTGTGCTGCATCCTGCTTGGGACTGAGAGGGAAACTAAGAGTGTGTATAACAGGTCAGGGTGGGAGTTGGGGGGATAGATTTCTTTTCTACAGGTAAATCTTGCCCAATAAACCCCCAGACCAAGGAGCCACACAGAGTTAGCTGGATTGTAGTGGGTTCAAGTCATTTATTTTTAGAATGTACCAGCATGTTTGGTTCTGGGGTTCAAACCCCAAATTCCAGAAAAATAAACTAATTGAGGACCACATGCACTACGAGGAGGCCATTCCAACGTGTTTGTGATCATGCGGCATGGACATAGAATATATAACAGGAGCCCTCAGTGTGGAGCAGGGCCTCCCCTCCCCGGACAGCTGACAGCGGCTGGCTCTGAGCCCTTGTCAGGATTGGGGATTGGGCTGAGACTGGGTCATTTAGACCCTGTCCCTTAATGGCCCTGGGCCCCTTATTGCTACATTTGCTACTTTGCTACTTTATGGCCCCTGGGTCTTGCCCAGGGGATGCCTTATCACTGGGTGGTACTAATGAGTAGGTTGCTGGCATCTGCTGTTGCCATGGTTACGTGAGCATAGGCTTCTCGTCAGAGGGTCCCGTGGTGAGTTATTAGTGATTCATTTGGCCACTATTCGACTTATTCCCTGATCTTTGCTACACATTCAACTTTCCCAGCTCCATTTAGAGACTGGTGGCATGTTATTGTTCCTTTAGCCCAGGGCTTTCCAGCTCTTAGATCTTGGTGAACAGCTGGTGCATTCTACAAGCCCAAAGACCAGCAGCTCTCAATACTTTCCACCTTCTGGGAAGGCTTCCGGGTAGTGGATATTGAAACCCACACATTTGGAGAACAGGAGGGATGCATTGTAAGAAAGACACCAACTTCCGCAACCAGTGAAGGGACCAGATGGGTGGCAGGCTCCTGGTTCAGTGTCCTATTGCCGAGGTAGTTTGAACATACCAGGAATCCTGCCAGGGCAAAAGTCCCTGGTGCATGTTCCCTTGTGTTCAGTGAGTCTAAGCAGCAACTCAGAGTTGCCTAAGGTCCCTCCCAGGGTGCTAGCCTGGTATCTGGTGAGCCCTTGAGCACAGGCCCAGTTGACTGCACTCACAGCTGGACCCTGCTTTGGTCATGGATTATAACAACACCTTCCAGGAGAACAAAGCTGCTGCAGCACTTTCTGGAAATGCAGTAGCCTCCTTCCCAGCCCAGAGAATTCCTGTTGCTTGGATCATGCCATCTGGTTGCTTCTGGGTATTTAAATGTGCCAACCTACAAGTTTTACTCTTCCCATGTAGGGAACGATATTTTAGATGTCCAGTGCCTAGCGTCTTGTGTGAATGACCTGAGGGGTAGGTGTCTCTTGCTAAAGCTGTCCTGATGCTTTGGCAATAGGGCTGCAAAAATATTTGCCCTATGAGCTCACATAGGGAAGAGTCCTGGGCCTGGAGACTATGCCCAATCAGGAAATGTACAGTGGCTTCCAGGGGCAGGACAAGGAAGGAGAATCTGCTCTGCTATAGAACTAACTTTAAAGTCTAATCTAATCTGAATTTACTGCAACCCAATGAGAAAGAGACCAAGATCAGATTTTCCGAATGTACTGGCATTACAAGGTCTGGTCAACTTGGGTGTCACAACCTTGCTCTACTCCCCTCTTGCAAGCCTCTTGCTTGATCTACTGAGGATCATGTGGTAGAGATCACAGGACTGAGCATGCCTTAGTTGGGGGGTGGGTATGAAGGTATTGCTCTGGTTTTGAAGAACATCTGAAGTGTTCTTATCTCCACTGAGCATTCCGACCCCCTCCTCCCCTCTGGGTGTTCTCAGACATGTTTTTGAAGCTTTCATCCTGCCCCATGTTATGGCCATAGATCATCCTCTAGGGACCCCCAGGATAAGACCAAATCTCAGGCCAGCATAACTCTGGAGCATCAGCCAGGAGTCAGGGGAAGGAGGCACAGAAGTCATGGCTGGGAAAACCAAACTTTCTCTCTCTGCAGAGAATGACTTAAAATGTCCCTTGCCACCCATGAGGAAGGGCAAGAGGCAATCATTCCCATGCCCTGGATAACTGAGAGCACAGAGGCACCTGCAGCTTGGGAACACCTTTTGTCCACATGCCCTAGGTCTCAGTGTCAGCACAGGCCAGGGGTCCCTGGCAGGAATGCTTTCTTTGGGGAATACTGGGTACAGATGAATTTAGAATACAATGTTGTCCTCTTTTATATGAAGAGGAAGGGTATGAAAAGGGTGTAGTGAAGAGAGGAGGAGTCAGAAGGCCCTATTACTTGGGATAGGGCTTCACTTCATCCATTTACTCACTGAGTAGTTAGTGAGTGTCTGTGAAGTGTGAGGCTCTGTGCCAAGATCACATAGAATGAGGGCACGGGGGTGTATGATAGGAATATGGGACTATATTGCCACCTTCGGAGAGACTCTGGGGACTCAACACATGTTGCCTGTTATTCCCACTGTACTTTGATGAGAGAAGAACTGCTATCAGTGGGGGAGACTGAGGCATGGTGGTTAGGAACCCACAAAGGTATAACCAGAGCAAAGATTCCTAAAGCCTATGGTGGCTCTCCTGGGGGATGGAAGTCTGTTGCCCTGGGAACAAGGCTGTGTGGAAGGATTCAAAGGTGGAATTGGAAAGATGGGGTCATGGTGGGGCATGAATGTATGAGCCTTTGGTCACCAGCGGGTGAATTTGCCTATGTGAGTAAAGAAATACCAGTGATCACTGTTTTCGCTTCTATGTTTTCTGTTTATACACTCCCAAGGGAGATTTTTCACCTATGGCCAAAAATAGATCAAGGGAGGATAACCAAAGCAGGTAGGGGAGTGAGTGTCTGAATTCAAAAACAGGTTACTTAATACAGTTTTGTCCGAGGGCTTTTGGGTGTCACAATAATGACGTCGGCAATGATGATGGTTATTAGCTACTGTCTGCTAAGACCTACTACACATCAGGTGCCTGACTCGGGGCCTTTCCTACACCTCATAGCCAAGTTGGCAGATAGTCATTTTGACAGACACACACAAAGGGAATACAAATAAATCTATTGCAGGTTTTTGCTTTCCCCTAGATGACTGACTTGGTTTAGTGGGGTAATTGGCTGGGCCTTCAGATCAGGACTGGGAAGCAAACCTTGTGGCCCTGGCCAGGTCCCTTCAATGTATACTTTGTCCCAGTTTCAGACACAACTGAGCCCTGACCCAGCAAGGATTGGTTATACTTGTCAGGATGCCATGTGTGAGCTGCCAGCCTTGTGATCCAGCTGCCTTCCAGGTTGGGGACCTCACAGCTTCCACCTTGGCTTGCAGAATCCCAATGGCCTCTGAGTTCATGGCATTTATTTTGAGTGAGACATGAGGGGACAAATTGAGGAGCAGGGGAGCAAAAACAGAATAAATTATGAAATAATATTTTTTAAAGATGGTCAACAAACTCTTTCATCTGTATCGGTGCTTCCTCTAGCATTGAACCTTTGAGACATTCGATGGGACCCAATAGGCCACTACACCATTGGCGACCTCTTCAAAAGGTGATCTCAGCAGGGGTCAAAAGAACTTGAGGTGAAGCAATCCATGAAGTTGCTTTAGTGCTGAAGATGTGATTTGGACAATTCATGTGAGAGCAGTACCTGGTGCTGGACTGTTATACCCCGGTGGTCACAGAGACATGGGGGGAGGCAGGTGATGGCCGGGACGTGGTGGCTGTAACTATGATGAGTGCTGTGAGCGCCTCAGAGAGAGGGCAGGGAAGGTGATGCATAATACTGTGCTCAGGGTCCACTCATCCCTCTTGAGTTTTTGGGAGGGTGTGATTCCCCGGATAGTGGAAGGAGTGAGGATAGTAAAAATATACTCTTAAGTGGTAGTGGCGACAGGAATCCCACGAAGTGTTCTCCCCTGAATGAGTTAGACACAAGGGCCTCCTAGAGAACCGAGTGTCAGAGCACAAATGTACTAGGAGCAAGGGTGTAAACTGGAGCTTCCACCAGGCCGACCTCAGGCTCTGTGAACCCTTTCTTTCTGTCTTCCCATTCACCCACAAAGTCTCCCCACCGCTGCCCTTCATTGCCCTCACTCCTTCTCCTTCACAGTGACCAAATCTCCCCGTAAGGAAACTCTGTCCGTGGATGTGGAGCGCCGCCTGCCCGTGTGGTCCTCGGTCCCCGGCCCTGGCCCTGCAGCCGGAATGGTCAGGAGGACTGCATCAGGCCGGTGAGGCGCTTGCCCGCCAGAGACTTTCCCTGCAGAGAGACAGCCGACAGAGAGCACACACAGGTGCACACACAGAGACAGAGACAGAGAGCCAGACAGGTGAATTAATTGTTGCAGGAGCCAAGGAGACCAAAGGACTAACCAACCTGACTGACCACCTTGATCTCTAGCTATGGGAGCCTTAACTTTGGAAGGCTGGAAAAACCAGGACTCCAGGGTAGGTTATGGGAGGGGGAGTTGCTGCTACTCATTTTGGGGTGTGGAATTTTACTTACCAAAAAACCAAGCATTTAGACCAAGTGCCTGTGGGCTGCCCCAAAACTTGATTTTATTCAAACGGGGAAGATAAAAGCGGACTAGAAAGTACTGAAGTTGGGGAGAGTGGGTTGACTCAGAAGGTGGATAAAGATCTGGGTAATTGAGGTAAGGAAGCAGAGTATTTGTGAATCCTATCTGACAGGGTCCTCTTAAAAATGGATTCTGGGACTGTGAAAGTGAGATGGGCATCTGTGGACACTGAGAGCGGGTGTAGGGTCTGTAGCAGTGCACTCCTGCCATTTCCTGTGTCCTTGGATCCCTATCTATGGCACCTAGAGGTCTAGTTCAATGACCTCACACTAGAAGTCAATGACCTACGTGGTAGTGCTTAAAAACTGAAAACAAAACAAAAACCCTAAAACCAAAAAACAAAAACTGAGGCCTGGTGTTTGAATCGCAGAGGTCTTGGGAGAGTCCGGTTTTCTACACCTCCTGGAGGGGTGACTGGTTGAGGAGCCCCTGATCTGGGAGAGAATTTGGGACTCAGTATGAAGAAGAGTGAGGCTCAATCATGCTGCTTATTTCTCTTAACAGAGTCTGTGTCCATTCCCTGGCGCACCCTCTTTAGGAATCCCTATCACTGGACAGGGTTTAGGGAGAGTGTGGCTGGACCCAAGCAGATTGATCACGGTGTCTGGGAAAACATTCAAAACCCATCCTGTTATTGACAGCAGGTCAGTGACCCCATTGCCATCTGCGAAGGGCAGCACATCATCGCTTGTCAGCATGGGCTGTGGTGTCTGGAAGGGAAACAAAAGGGGCCAACAACTCCCCAAGTTCATTTCCAAGAGGGGCACATCTTGTTTACTGGGCTTGGCTGGATGTAATTAAAAACAAAATTGATCAGGTTTGTGAAGTCGAGTAGGATATTCAACAAACTTACTGATTGATGAATTGATGGATAACAGGTGTGTCTAATAAATGACCAGCATGGGCTGTGAGTTTGCTGGGAAGCAGGGCAATGTGTCATCTGGCTTAGATCTCCACGGCGGGATGAGGCCAGTCTGACTCCGAGAAATCCCAGCATGGATGGGAGCTTGTATAGAAATGGAATTGCCCTGAGAACTGTCAGGAAGTTTGCATCTACCTCCCTTTTCTCTTCCCCCACTTTCTTTCATACCCATTTTCACTAGTGAGACATAACTTCATTTTTTTCTCCTCTATTTTAACACACACACACACATACACACACATACACACTCCCCATTGGAAACCTTATCCGAATCTTCAAATACGTTCAACTTTGCCTGTAGCAGATACATTTATACTAGGCTAAGGATTTTTTAAATCAGATTAAAGAGAAAAAAAAAAAAGGCCTAAAGGGTTAGAGGGTCAGTCTTTGAAAAAATCACTAACCAGGATGGCTACCCCTTTGTCTAGAGTAGGTTAGTGTAGCAGAGCAATAGCTCTTGGAAGGCAGAGGCTGGCCTTCCAGGACTCCTGTCAGCTCTGAATTCTATGTCACAGTCCTAGTTGTTCCTCTCCTTGAATGTCCTTTCTTCCAGGGAGCCAAGGCATTTGTCATCCAGTTGGTTCACCTGGTAATGTGCCTTCATGGGTCAGGCCTGAAGGCAGGGGCATAGAGGTGCATGGGGGGTGGTCCTCTCTGGGCAAATGTGGGACTGCTGAGCCTAGGGACCTCCTAAAGTGAGCGCTCTTACAACCCACCACGCTCTATCCCTACTCCCACGTCCACCTTTCATACACGAGAGGCACCAAAGAATGCTGCTTTCTTCTTGGGTGTTGTTTATTGTTGTGGTAACCACACACCAAATACTGGCTCCTCCCACTTCTCCTGTCCCTCCTCCTCTAGGGCCACAAGTATACGTTGTGTACCCAAATATATTATGTCCTGGATTTACTATATAAGCACTTGGGGCTCTTATTTAGCTAGCAGATGTGGGGAAAAAAGTCACTTAAGTTTCTGAATAAGAATCTGTTGCCAACATATATGTTAAAAGCCCAGAGACAAAGAAAGCGAGGTTTACTAGTTGCCCAAGCCCTCATTACAGCTTCATCCTCATTAGTGAGGTCATTTTGGCTGGAGAGGGGCTGTGGATTGAGGGAGGTTGGGATTCTATTTCTGGAGGGTTGTGTGTCTGTTCTAGGTGAATTTGGCCCTGAGGTGCACCCACTCAGCCTCTCCCAATTCTACAGAATGGGCTGGGCTGGGCTTGGAGGCACTAATTAATCTCTTTCTGCCTAAATCCTGGAGGTGAGCCTCATGGCTCTGACTCCAGCAACTAGAGGCCAGTCTGTCACTGCCTGCCCCTCCTCTTCCCTCCAGCTGCTTCCATTTCCCAGACTTGAGGGTCGATGGTGCAGCTGACCAGCCTAGGGATCACCTCAGGGATTGTTCCCAACCTCTCAGCAATCCAGGTGGTGCTGCGTGGCATTTTCATCTTCCTCTCTCCACTCCTGTGCTCACGCATTTACCAAATGCCAGTTCTGCTGCTAAAGACAGGAGGTCATGAGGGTTCCGGTCGGCTCAGGCAGCAGCTCAGCCCAGCTGCAATCTACCCGCTCCACAGTGACCTCCCTGGTGAGCGAGGGCAGGCTCAGGCTGGAAGGCGGTTAATCATGCAGGATGCAGGCATGGCTAGATGCCTGGCCCAGGGCTTTGGGGAAGAAATCCTGCAATCACACTTGCTCAGCAGCTGCTCCCTTCTGAAGAGCTGAGACGCCTGTAGATTTCAGGGATCAAAGTGAAATCTGAGAGCAGAGGCTACCTGTGTTCAGAGATGAGCTGCCCCAAAGTATATGCCCCTGTGGGCTTGCAGGAAGTTCTAAAGTGCTTGCTCTGCCCAGAGAAAGCAGAGCTTCTGCCCGAGCCCTCCAGGGCTCTTTCCTTCTTCCTCTTTACTCCTGTCCCTGCCTCCAGTTTCGATGATTCTGAAGGAATCAGAAAAAGTAATTCTCCCGTGCCCAGCACTTGCATAGTTACAGAGGAAGCAGTTTTTTCAGGGTGTGAATGTATGATGTTCCTCAGTGCTGGTCAGTTGGGAACAGATCATGGTGCCAGGAAACTGCAGCCAGCTCAGCCTGAGGCCTTGGCGTAGCTGAGCGAAGCAGCTGAGGGTGGTTGGAAATGCTATTAGCAGGCAGCCTTTGTCCAAGTGAAAAAATATACAGTGATTAAGAACTGAGCTGCAGAGGTACATTCCAGAGACACCGAAGCTTTGCATACAGACAAAGTGCTTTTCACCTTCGAGACATTTGGCAACGTGTAATCCAATAGAATTTGGGATCCTTCAATTTCATGGACCAGGGGCTCAGTGCTGGGTTCATAAACACCCACACATTCAATTCCCACCCTCTCTGACTAATCATTTCAGCTCTGTGGCCATCTTGATGGCTAGAAGCCTGGAAGAAGGTGGTCATGGAATCCTTTGTTTCTGAAAGGAAAGGCACAAAAGGAATGGCTCCCTTTTGTGCAGTGCTTTAAGAAAAAATCAACATGCTGCAGGACATGCTGTGGCTCTGTGCTTTGCACTTCCGGATATTAATCAACAAAGCATGCACGATCCGGTTACTAAGAGCTGTTGCTGCTTACTTACCTGGGAGACTGGTGCTGTGCTAAACTCTGGGAGGTGGGCTGGGGCTCAGAGAGTAGCCCTGGGGATCAGATGGCATACTGGGGCCAGTAGAATCAATCACTAGGGGCTGAGAGAGGGCCTTTTCATTGCTAAGGGAGTAAAGACACCTGAGTACTGATGAAACTCTTGCTGATTTGCCCAGAGGACCTAAGACACCAGCCATAGATCTCAAGTCCACCAAGTCAAAATCCAGGCTATTATGGGATAGAAATCAGCCATGGTTGCCCATGGTGAAGAAGAATGAAACTGACTGGAAAGGGGCATGAGGGAACTTTCTGGGTGGCTGAGTGTGGGTTACATGGGTGCACACATTTGTCAAATTCATTGACCCATGTGTTTCAGATCAGTTCACTTACTGTGAAAAAAAATAAAACACGATTAGAAAGAGAAAAAAAGATTAGAGAAAAAAACTCAGTGATCACTTCTCTACCCTGGAATTTCCCACTCCTTCCTTACTCTTTTTCTGTTGCTGGGCTCTTCTTTGCCGTTGGAGAACTTCAACATTTCATCCTCCAGTACAGGAGAAACCCACATTCCTCTGCTAGGGGAACTAGAACTTGCTACGGAACTAATTTTGCACACTATTTCTAGCATCCATTGATTCAAACTGATCCCCCCTGTGCGACACACAGACATTTTTCATCCTTGCTAATGAAAAATGTTTTTTTTTTTTTTTTGCTGAATAGAGTTCACCAAATGACCTCAGCAGGCAAGAAGTAGGAGGCCCCAGAGATGAGTTGTCCTTTCAAGGAGCTCGAAGGTCACTTATGAGTGGGTGATGCTCAAGTTCATGAAAGATGTGGAGGAATTTTAGGCCTGAGGGGTGGGCTGTTATAGGGAGAACAGGAGGCAGTGGAAAGGCAGAGTCCTGAGAGTTTGGTTGGAAGGGATAGAAATCAAGGACCTGTCTAGCTTCAAGTGACTTCCTAGAAGCTGGCACCCCGGGTCTCTTCTCCACTGAGCAAAGCAAAATAAAGATTTTAAAAGGAAGCACAAAGTATTCCGTGGCATCTCCTTTCTCCATGATGTTTAAGGTTAAGGACAGAAAGTGTGCCATCTGTTTGAGATGATTTCAAGGATTTGGGAAACTGGCAGGGGATGATGGTTAGGAAAATCCATACTTAATATAAAATATTTTGAAAACACTTTTCAACTCTTCATCTCTCATCCTTTAGAGAACTTTGCAAAGCAAAGTGAGGCAGATGAAATAGGGAAACCAGGCTACTGGACTAGCTGAAGATTATGCCTGGTGCATCTACAGCAGAGCTGGGCTGAAGCAGGCGAAAGGAGGAGAGGGCCTTCCTAGCATTCTCTCCCTTCAGGAGTGAGTGGGGCAGGAGCTCTGCGGCAAGATCCCTTCCTGGGGGTCTGTTACTCTTGGGCTCTTGCCAAGCTTTCTGATCTCTCTTAGGGGCTGAAGGGCATTTTATTTGGTTTTAAAATATTCTCTTTTATGAGAAGATATATCACAAACAGAAATCAACACCCACATTTTAAAAACTAATGGTGAAAATTAAATTAGTAAGAAAAAGAAAGTTCACTGGCCCAAGAATGAATACACATGGGATCTTCAAAAAGTTCATGGAAAATGCATATAATGAAAAATTAAAATTTATGCAAACATTTTTAATTGATTTTTTTTCTTTTTGCCTAAAGAGCTGCATACTTTTATTTTTTTTCCTGCAAAGTTTTAAAGCCCCCCCATACATTTGAGTATGCTTGAATTTGGGCCTGCTTAAAATCATTAGGGGCCGGGAACCAGCAGTTAGCGTAATGGCTATGTCGCTGGACTCCCACGTAGTCGACCGCGGTTCGCGTCCTGGACCCGGTGGCTTAGAACTCACGCCGGGCGCGTGTGCGTGCATGTCCAAGATCCCGAGAGGAGAATGGAGGAGAAGGGATTGCGGCGTGACCATCCCCCCTGGGGGCGGAATTTTCCGTTTTCTGTTCTTCGGCCTCCGCCGTTTGCAAGCGCATGCGCCCTATAGTGAAAATCTCTCCAAAAAAAAAAAAAATCATTAGGGGCCAGCAGTTAGCGTAATGGCTATGTTGTTGGACTCCCACGTAGTCGACTGTGGATCAAGTCCCAGACTCGGTGGCTTAAACTCATGCTGGGTATGTGTGCGTGTGTGCCCAAGATCCCGAGAGGAGAATGGAGGAGAAGGGATTGCGGCATGACCATCCCCCCTAGGGGCGTGATTTCTCGTTTTCTGTCTCTCTGTCTCTGTCTGTCTGGCGAGCACATGCGCCCTATAGCAAAAACCTCTCCAAAAAATAAAAAAAAAGTAAAAATAAAATCCTTAATATTAGAAAAAAATAAGAAATCTGGTCAGATGAAAAAAAATCAATTCTTTTGGAACAGCTTAGCATCTTATGTACAGTAGTGTTAACAACCAGGTTCTGCCATATACATGGTGGGGATTTGTAATCTACCTAGCAATCACATCACCTGAAAACAATTCCCACAAAAAGTCACTGGGACCATTAGCAAGTTTAGATACCTTACTTATCTACTCTGTATTGGCAACTATTAGTGCTTTTTAACACTTTATTTAAAATTTTTGAATTTAGAAAAGGTAAGTTGCCTGTCTCTGGATTAAATGAAAAAAGTCCAACCTATTCTCTGATCTCCAAAGGCCTTTCTCTTTGAATTTCTTTTTCCTGCTCAATGATGTGGTATCATATCTCATGGACTCTCTCTTCTCAAGAGCTCTCCTATTCAACTTGCCCAGGTCTTGACAGAGGCAGGATAGAGATGGTCCCAGTACCGGGGACACAGGTTAGCTGATGACAACAGTTACTAACAACTCCTATTGACTGGCTGTTGAATGGCTCTTGTGTGCCCAGCATACTAGGCATTTCATGAACATCTGCACTAATATTCACAATGTCCTTTCCAGTTAGATATTTCTTTAAACTCCACCAAATTGCTGAAGAGCCAAGCAAGCTTAAAGATCTTGCCTAAGAGTTCACAGATAGTCAATGGTGGAGCCAAGTTGGTTGGCCTTCATAATCCATAGACCTTCTTTTATCTTGCTCATGGCCATCAAGATCAAGAAAGGAGACAGATAGAAATGCTCAGGGACTAAGGACTCTTCCAGGCCCACCCACACTCGGCAGCCTCTCTGGGCAGAGCAGGGTGATTTTCTTGGACTCCCTGAGAAACTTCAACTCTTAAGCATGTGCAAAGCCATCTCAAGGGGCATCTGCTCTGTTAAGGTGCTTCCCCTCATAGTATTTGAGAATCCTGAGAGGGGAGATGTCATCTTTTGACTGACAAACCTGACAAAAGGAATCTGGTTGCTGCACTTACATTGTGCTGGGGTACAGGTCACCATGCCTTGGTGTATATAGATTTAAAGCAGTGGCTGCTGGGCAGGTCAGGTGAAGCCTCCATTCTGTGTGTGGCCCTGTGTCATTGGTGTCGATGCCTCTGGGCACATACTAGCAATCATCCCAGGAAGGACGGAAGTAGGTGTGATGTTTACCTTTCTAGGGTGGGGCAGGCAGGGCAGCCTTTCCAAATAGAATTGACCCTATTTCAAATCATTCTAGGCCAAGTGCCCAATTCAGGGGTTCCAGTCAGGCTGGGGAGATTTCCTTTGTGATTCCTGGCACCTTTGAGTCCTGCTTGCATTGTGCTCATCACCTACGGGGCTCACTGCAGAAGCTATCTTCTGTCAGTACTAGTGAGGGATGGAAGATCTTCCTCTGTGGTCCTCCCAGCTGTGCAGGGACAAGTCTGGACTCAGGCAGAAATGTGGGAGGGAGCAGCTGAGCCTTACACCAGTGGCAGAATGTCCAGGCAGAGTCTCCAGCCTCTTTTCCGAGTTGTGCATTTCCGTTTTCCCTGATACTCTTGATTCCTGTGCAGTATTAGTGCCCCCTTTTATCTACTGGACCTCTCTTTCTCTTTCCTCCTGTCCCAACTAAACAGCCCAGTAGCTCCTTCTACACTCAGTTAGCAGGAAATTCTTGGTGGTCTCAGGAGTGGAGTGGTGCAGAGAGGGGCCTTCTGCTGGCAAGGCTCTCAGTAGCATGCCTCTCTGTGGCCCACACAATACCTGCCTCCTCCTCTCCTCCTCTTCCTCATCCTTCCCAAAGGTACTTAGGCGTCTAAGTTCTGGTTCATTTCAAATTAGGCAAAGGAAACAGGGACATGGTTGTGTTGCTATTGGCAACAACTTGATGCTACTTTTTTCCACCTAAAAAGTTTAATTAACCCTTAACTATGACTATGGGGGAAAGTGCAGCTGAAGTTTAATTACTTGATATCATGGACAAAGCAGCCAGGGAAGTCGTTCACTTGGCAGTCTGTGATTCTCCTGAGAACCCATGAGGACTCTAACATCATTCTCCTAAGGGTTCTTATTGTCTCCTGCAAACATGTTCACCCAAAACACATATATTGGTTGGGGTTCCTGGTGAAGCAGTTGCCAAGGCAGCTCAGAAGGCATCAGCTTCAGTGTCTATTTTGAAGCATATGCAAAGAGAGCCAGCTCTTTTTTCTGCTCCCTACTACCAGTAAGGTAATCCAGCAGGCATTTATCAGACATGTATTTTTAACTTGAAAAAGTACAGCAGGGAACAGGTTAAGTAGCATTTTCAAGAGGTGCCTGGACAGAAAGGTGGGTCTTTGGAATTTCCAGCCACAGAGAACCTTTTTACTTCCCTAAGACAGACCTTTTTCATATGTTGCTGAAATGCTTTTGGAGCCCTGGGACAGTGGATGGGCAGTTTCCCAGCTTCCTTCTGCCCTGGTGGTCTAGTATGTAGAAATGTGAGATTTCTAACTTTCCTGCAGGACTTGGCCCTGGGCCCATAGAGGAAGGGTTATGAAAGTTTTAGCTGGGTCATGAAGCCTAAGGATGCTGCTGTTGGATATAAAGGCATCTTCAAAGGTAGTGGGCACTTCTGTCCTGTTCTGCTGGGAAAGGGAGGTCAGCAGAAATCCATTACAGGACCAGTACCTAAAGATCATGCTTGCACATTGTCTTTGGGGCAAGGGACTCATCTCAGCATCATTTCCGGACCCCTCAGCTCCTTATTTCTGAGGAAGAAAAAAATATGAATGCAAAAGCTGGGCAGAAAAAAATGAGGGCATCAAGAAATAGGTGCCACTGATTGTCTGTTGAACCAGGATGTGAGAATAGGAATGACAGGTGGAGACAAGGTCATGGACAAACAGATAATCTCTTCTAGGTTTTGAAGCACCTTCTGTGTAGAAGGATCCCAAAGGTTAGAGAGTGTGCAGACGCCGAGATCACTCACCCACTGCTGGAAGGAAGCCACCTCGGGGGTGAAATGCAGCGGCCATTCTGACTCTGCGCCAGCAGCACTAGGCAATTGTGTTTTTAGGAAGGGAAGTGAAGAATAACTTATCCAGCTGAAACCATGAAGACCTGTGGCTTTAGAGGAGCCCCTGCCCAGGCACACACAGCTGCAGCAGGCATGCAATGCATGCACAGAGGCACGTGCAGGTCTGCAGTGTATGGCTACACACATACCATGCGCTGAACATGGATGTGTGTGCCAGGCAGGAAGCACATGCACCTGTGTATACACCTGTGTATACACCTGTGACAACATGTATACACCTGTGTACACATTCACGTGCATGTTTACATTGCAAGTACTCACATAAGCATCTCATGCAAAGTGCATAAGCAACCACGTGATTGGCTATAGAGTTTTATATCAGCTCCTAAGATGCCATTTTTGACAAATACTGCAAAGTATTTACCTTAAGAAAAGAATTACACACACACACACCAACTCGTCCCCAGGAAAAGGCCATTCATTCGTGTCAATGAAAATGACCTCTCTGCTTCTGTTTCTGTTGTCTCTACCAGTGGGAGTGCAGGCCCTAGGATCTGGTTGATTCAGGGATTTCAAAGCATCCTTTGCCTCTTGCCCCTACCTCCAACCTCACTTTGTAATAAGTGCTTAAAAAATAGAATCCTCTGTTTATCTGGCAGATGGAGCAAATGGACTTGATTAGGTTGTATTGCTCAGGGTGGCTCTGGGCAGGCAGATGGCTGGGAGGTGAGTGTTTCTGGGAGTGACATGCAAAGGGTGACATTTGGAGGACTGGATTGCATGCTCTTATTGTGGGTAGAACCCTTTCTGATCTATGTCTGGAAGCAAGAGGCATCTCAGGGCCCTACCCATCAATAGGGAGCTGCATGCCAGATCCTGGCCATAGAAGTGACATTGTACAAACCTCACAGCCCACATGGCTTCCTAGGAAGTACTTAGGGACCTCCAAGAAACTGAACATAGAGCAGGAGCTGACCTCCTGGGCACCACAGACCTGCCATTCCTTGGGAAACAGTAGACAGCTTCTAGCTCTCTGAATTGACTTTAAAAATAAGCCAGTAATGGGACCAGCAGATGGTGTAATGGCTACGTTGCTGGACTCCCATGTAGTCGACTGCAGTTCGAGTTCCAGATCCAGCAGCTTTAATTCACGCCAGGCGCGTGTGTGCGAGCCCAAGATCCCCAGAGGAGAATGGAAGAAAAGGGATTGTGGCATGGCCATTCCCCCTGTGGATGTGATTTCTCTCTTTCTATTTCTCTGTCTCTCTCTATCTCTCTGGTGAGTGCATGCACCCTATAGCAAAAATCTCTCTAAAATAAATAAAACAAGCCAGTAACAAGAGCTCCCACTTATTGAGTAGTTACCAAGAGTTTTGCATACATTGTCGCAAACAAGATACTCACCCTTGACTACAAAATAAATACAAAACCTACATTGTGGAATATTGTTGGAAATTTAATAAAGCATAAATGAAGAATGAAGCATGGGCTCCAAATAGCACCATAACGATGAAAATAATGCTCAGAGCTATACTTACAGAGCACATATGAGGGGGCTTTAGAAAATTCACAGGTGTGTATTACTAAAAAATAATTACACGTGGATTTCAAAATTCACACCAAAATAAACTCATACTTTTGTTTTTTCCATGAACTTTTTGAAGTCCCCTTGTATACTGCAAATAGTGTAGTAAGTGCTGTGTATTTTGTCTGGTTTTATCGTTTACTCTTAGCTCTTTTTTACACGTGAGGAAACTGAGGCTCAGAGCTGTTGCCCTCGTCACACAGGTAAGTGGCACAGCTGAGTGCAGTGGTAGAGCCAGAGCAGGACCAGAGTCCCTGTGAGGCCACGCCCAGTACGAGGATGACAACACTCTGAGCTCCCAATAAACGGCAGCTATTGCTACCGCTCCTCATTTAGCTTTCGCTCCCGCTCTTCATTTAGGGCCAACGTCCACCCTGTGCAGGGGCCTTCGTTATACCCACTGGACACATGAGCGACCCCCGCCCCCAGGGTCTTAAACCAGTATCCAGTGGAGAGACGGGCTTAACTGGGCTTCCTGTCTCTGACTTGGCCCACTTCTCTGTACTTTGTGGGGCACTAAAGGGACACTGTGCTCAGAGGACAGAGCAGGCGGGTCCTCTTCGGTCATGGGTGAGAATACAGTTGGGTGAAATGTCACTGCTCCACTTTTGACACCTAACTCTGGTGGTTAGTGCTGGTCACTCACAGCCCAGCTCCTTCTTCTTTTGTGACACAAAAATAAGGCACTGGCGACTGTCAGGGTAAAGTCAGCCATGGAGGAGGAGGGGTCAACCAGGAGCCTCCCTCAAAAACACACTTTTGCTGGGGCAAGATGCATTTCACTGTGTAGTCATCTCTGCAGTCCCTGGGGAGTATGAGAATAAAGGGAACCCTGCTGATGGGTCACCACACATCCCACACTCCCTGACGGTCCTTTTCATAATGTCCTACAAATCTAGAAACTGAAGAGCTAGGCTTGAGGGCTAGCAACCAATGGGAGCTACAGCTGTATCCTCACCAAGAAGACCTTCATCACATAGATGCCCACTGGATCGCGGCTACCCATAAATGCTAATGGTTGACTCCATATATTTAGAATCGTGAATTCTGTGATACTGGAACTTTCCAGTATTATGCAGGACAGATGACCCATCGGAATTCCTCTACTACTTTTGTTGCGGATTACAAGGTTGGGTTAAGTTTTGTGTTAGATGCTCCATCTCTGTTTTCCAACTTAATCTGCTATGATGTGAAGGCTGGGCTTTCTGTCCTTGCTCGACAGTCTGTCTTTTCCTATCAGGCACAGGAGTTCAGATGCACCGTGCTTTCAGTGCAAACGTAAAGGGCCAGGGGTGCAGTCAGAGTTCTCCAGTCCTGTGAGTAAGTCTAGTGCCTCTGGGTCCCTACCACTCCCTCTTTCCCACTCTTAGACCCAGGCACCAATCATACCTGACAGAGTTCTAAAGGAATGTCTGAGAGAACATAGAAACAATCAACTCTGACTGGGCTTTCTTTAGCTTTTAAAAAATGTCTTATTAAAACTTTGCTGACTTTACTGGGATCGCCATGTTTAATGAGAGGCCTCAAATAATTTGAAAGCGAAAGATGAAGAGAGGAAAAAAGCCATAAGCTGTAATCACCATAATTATACAATCCTACGATGAGTTGAAAGCAGCCCTGGTGAAGCCTGAGAGAGGAGGGAGTGTCATCTGCAATCGGGCTGGTTCTTAGGAGAGCTGGAAAGAATGTGACATGAATGGCCTTCCCTTCCTCTGAGTTAGGTTGAAGATGAGTCCCCAAGGTGGGGCCCAGGGGGAGAGGTTCCCAGGGAGGGCAGCTGCTCATCTGGTCTGAGGCCTCTGGGGTTATTCTCTGCCCCTGGCCAGGCTGAGATGTGTTTGGTGTCAGCTTATCCATCTGGAATCTGCAACTGGCATTGGGTGGAAGGCAATGGCTTTGTCATCTTTTCTGTGTTGAACAAAACGGCGTTTCTGGATGGGAACTGTGTCAGGCCAAGCTTTCTCCAGCCTGGGAGCAGGGCGCTCCATGGACCTGGCTGCCCCTGGCTGTACTCAGCCCAACTGCACCATAGTTTCCCTGTGCCAACAGGCGCCTGCATCCTCCACTCACTGACCTCCTTTTCGGCATTCAGGGGAGAGAGCCCTGTTGCCCAGAGCTCAGCTGTAGCAACAGCAAATGGGGAAAAAAAAGAAAAAAAAAAGCAAAGAAGCCATGTGAAGGGCAGTAATTCCACTTCTTGACAGTTCCCTTGCTTGGTCTGTTGTCATCCAGCCTTCCCCCTTAAGGCAGAGTTGAATCTGAATCTTTTGGCTCTCTCTCTTCCAAACTCAGTAAACTCCCCGCATTTAATCCATTCCCCTTGTCACCATTTATTGGCAAACCACAGCCACGGAATGAAATGCAGTAAGATTCGTTAACAAATTCTTAATGCAGCATAGGATTCCAGTTGAAAGAGACTGTGGAATCCAGTGCAGAAAACTACTCTTCAATGTCCTTGGCTGGTCAGCTTCCAAACATCAGCGTTCAGTGTCTACACATGAAGCCAGGGAACCCACTGCTCCTTGAGGTACGTGTTCCATTGTTGGGGTAGTTATTACTATTAGAATAGTCTTTGGTGGAGTCACCCTCCTCTGGAAGGCAAAGACAAGTAGATCTCACAATGGCTGCGGAGTCTGCTTCAGGGCTAGTCATCTTTCGCTACTCTAGTCTCTCCTGACCTGGTTTCCAGGGTCCCTTTCTCACGCATTATTCTCTTCTGCATTTTTTCTAGCTTGCTAAAATTCCTGATAAAAGGCGACGGCTTAGAACCAAGATTCAAAACTGTCCAGAGCAATGTAAAGCAGTGGAATGTTTCCCTCTTCTCTGGCCATTCCACTTTTGTCATCATGCTTAAATTGTTTTTTTTTTTTTTTTTTAAGCAGTTGCATTCTACTTTTGCTTATGTCAACCTTGTAGTCAACTGCAACTCCACAATTTTTTTACTTCAGTTACAGTGAAGGCTACAAATGATATCCTACAGTTGTGAAACTGAGTTTTTAAGAAAAATGAAATATTTTGGGTTAAATTGTATCTAGTTGTTTTTGACCAATTATCTCAACCCATGGAGATATTTTTCAAATGTAATTATATTCTTTACGATGAACAATACCCTCCAGGTTTGAAGTTTTGAATTTGGTTGCTATGTTTGTCTTTTCATGAGTCATCAAAAAAGATGTCGGATAAGCAGAGTTGGACTCTTCTCCTTGACCTTGACTCTAGCAGTGTTGCCCTTTTTCTAGGTTCCTGCGGTCGCAAAGCCTGGCTGGCACCTGGGGGTTCTTTCTTCTGCCCCTTCTTTTGCGGAACCATTGCTCCCTTGCAGAACTGGGGCAGGATCTGTCCTCTGCAGAGGTAGGCATCTGGTCCCCTGGGCCTTTGGCCTTTCTTGCTGTTTATCCCGCATTAGGGCCTGCATTTACCTTCGCCTCTGCCCCTCGCTGGACAATGGAAGCCCATGCGGTTCCCGAGTGGCTGCCTGGGGATAGGCGCCAGAAGCCTTATTGCACAAGCGACAAACTGAAGGCTGAAATCCCACAACTCCATCAGTTGCTTTTAAAGTAAGAGCTCCTTCTAGAAGGATGTCTTTCCTGAGTGGGGGTGGGGAGAAGGCACAGGGTTGCAGGTCACCTCCTGAAATAGGTCCCCGCCTGGCACATCCACACATGGTTTGCCCCCAGCCTGCCTCGCTGGAGACTGGCAGGGTACGCGATTTGGATCTGAATCAGTGGCTGTGAACACACAGCTGTGCCTTTCTGCCTCAGAGGAGTTTGGTTTTCACTTGACTGCTCTGCTCATCGGGTCTGGGGAAGGCAGGAGAGGGTCGGCAAGGCGAGGCAGTGGGACGTTGCCCCCAGAGCCTTGCTCACCCTGCCCCATGTGTCGGGAGGAGGCTGACTCTTCACTGGGTGTTTTCTGTGAGTGGGCACTCTGTGGGGAGTGCAGTTTTGGCTGCTTTTGACTGACAGATTGAAGCATCGGCTGCAACAGCTGGAGGTTCTTCCTTCCAAGAGGAATGGCAGGGTCTAGAGTTGAGCGCCTCAAAACTGACAACCAACCTCTGGCCTTTTTTGATAACTAAAAATGTCACCCTCCCTGGAGTTCTAGAATGACCCCTCCTCCGTCCCCACCAAAAAGACTCAATCACTATGTGGTCTCTGTATCCCACCAGCCATGCGGACTCTGTTATTTTCCATTTAATAGTTTGCTTATAAAAAACAGGCTTTTACATTTTCATTTTCCGGCTATAAAATGATTATAGTAGATATGCTTTTCCAAACTTCACATGAAGCCAAGAGATATAGAAAGGATAGAAACCAGAGGAGACTTAACCTACCACAGTAATCAGGATAACGCGGTCTCCCATGACCTTTTATCCTCAGCTCGAAAGAGGACAGTGACAGGCTGGCCCAGGATTCCCTGGGGAACCAGCAAGTGTGTAGCAGGTGGAGTGATGCCGAGGTCCCCAAATGCGTATGTTGTAGTTCCCTCCCTTGACGATAGCGCCCCTGAGAGCCACAGAACACCCTTTCACCCAGCCGACCTTGACAATCCAGCCCCAACACGCACACGCGCACGCACACACATGCACACACACACACACTCACACAGATCATCCAGACCAGAAGGACAAACTGTGGAATCTGCAAGATTGACAAGGTGTGTCACTTAGCCTGTGCTCTGGGACCCTCCCCTACCTCCCAGCTTCTCCCAGTGTGTGCCAGAGGGGTACAGGGAGCCTAGGGTCCTCAGTTCTCCTGTCAGTGCTTGTTTGGGGTTTGTAAATCCACCCAACTCAATTTTGTCCGTGGTTTATTTCCCAGCCTCCAAGACTGGCAGACACTTCTGAATCTGGTCACTAATGAGCAGAGAGGCAGCTCCTCAGTATTCTAGGGGATGATCCATACTACTCAGAAATCTCAATAGAGAGAGGCACAAACCTGAAGGACACTCCCAACTGGAAGGGACTGTAGAGATGATCAAGTCCAAGTCATTATCCAGAGGAGAAAACCAGGGCTCAGAGAGGGCTAGTGATGTGCCTGTGGTCACACAGCTAGCAAGCTGAAGCTGGAAGTAGAAACTACTCTGCGTGGGGGCTCCTGAGGCATTTCAGAGTCCCAGGAGACAGCCTCACTGCCCCATAGAGGCAGGTTTTCATGCTTTCCCTCCCAAGCACCACTATGGAAGTCTCTATCTCTAGCTAGAGCTGGGGTTTAAGAGCAGCTGCATCTCAGAGCTCTGAGATGGGAGAGGCTGGCCCTAATGTCTGTGGCCCAGGGGTCCCAAAGAGATCCAAAGACTGTTTGCAATCAAAACCAACCCCCTTAAAGAATTTTAGCAAACTGGCCCTTGCTGGAGCCTGAAAAGATTTTTTCAGCTGAGGTTAAGGCCCTCTGGGGGCTCTGCTGAGTCTAGGTATTTGAGAACTCATTCCATCATGCAGGGTTGCTCCCTAGGAAAGGCTGAGGAGGAGGGAAAGAAGCAGGGGGGTAGAACTGCTGCTTCCTTGGTACTCTGTCCTCCCCTCCCTGCCAGGAGCAGGGTCTTCCACTGCAGTAGCGCCTGGGCCTGGAGCTGGGGGTTTCCTCAGCAGAGCTGCCTGGGAGTGGGTGGGTGAGCTGTTGACTTCTTGGCTCTCATTAGCTTTTCTTTGGCATTTGGCCTGGGAGGGAGAATAGGGGAAGTGCGGGAGGGTGAGTGACAGCTTGCTCCCAGAGCGTCCGGGTCTCCATCTGACTTTCCTGCTGCATTCCTTGGCAGGCAGGACAGAAAAGCCTGTCGCAGAGATGCCACTCATCATGCGCTGAGGCTCCCTCCACTTCAGCCCTTGCTGCTGCAATTCGAAGAAGGCACCTTGGCAAAGCTAAGCATTTATGTTCTCTTAGGAGGTGGGTAAACAGCTGGCTTTCACCTCCCTCTCCACCATGGCCTCTATCGCTGGCTCAGCTGCCAGCAACCCCATTCTGGAGCCCAAGACTAGAGCTGCTGAAGCCCTCAGGAGGGCAGCTGAGGCTTCAACCAAGTGCTAGGCAAAGGTGGCCAAGGAGGCTGATGCCAGTGAGGTTGATGCCAGTGTCACCTGGGACTGCTGTTTCTCCTACCCTAAGTGCCATCATCCTCTGTGACTTCTTCTTTAAAATTTTCAAGAGAATATGTGTGCTCACGTGTGTATGTGCAAGAGAGAGAGAGGGAGAGAGAGAGAGATCATCCTCTAGAGAATACCAAGTTGCAATCCCTTCTCCTCCTTCCCCTCTCAGAGTTTTGGGCATGCATGTACACGTGCCTGGCATGCTTTTCAAGCCACTTTGTCTGAGATTTGATCCACTCAATTGGAAATGTGGGAATCACTTGCCCTAACCACCATGCCATCTGCTGGTCCCAATCCTCTGTGACTTCCATGGACCTATACACAAGGAACAGAGGACTTCCTCTAGCTTTTCACCATATGGCTCTTGGCACCATCCAAAAAGGGACAACCATACTGCTGCTTGGAGGCTTGGCTAAGGGCCTTTGCTTCCTCTCACCCTCCCCGCCATTTGTCTTCTTGGTTCACTGTGTCAGAATTGGTCCTTTATGATAGACCCTCTGGAATCTGAAGAAATGGGTGCATGTAAGAAGGAGCAGGGGTTGGAACCAGCAGTTAGTGTAATGGCTATGTTGCTGGACTCCCACGTAGTCGACTGCGGTTCGCGTCCCGGACCCGGTGGCTTAAAACTCACGCCGGGCGCGTGTGCGTGCGTGCCCAAGATCCCGAGAGGAGAATGGAGGAGAAGGGATTGCGGCGTGACCATCCCCTCTGGGGGGTGATTTCTCGCTTTCTGTCTCTGTCTCTCTCTGTCTGTCTGGCGAGCGCACGCGCCCTGTAGCGAAAAAAAAAAACTCACAAAAAAAAAAAAAAAAAAAAAAAAAGAAGGAGCAGGGGGAGGGAAAGCCTGTCTTCTCTGGCCACCTTCACACTCTCACTGTCATCTGTGAACTGCAAAACCAGGGAGATGGCAGAGCTTGGTAGGCTGGATGGCAGGGAGCAGCAGAAATTGGTCTTTAGTTAGGAATCCCCCTTCTCTCCCCAGGTAGTAATGGTCCAGACTCCCAAAGAAGTCAAAGAAGAGCTGGAAGGTGATGCCAAGGCGATCCACAATGCTTAGACAGATGACTTGCTGCGGTTTCATACTGACAGCTGCAATGAGAGGAGGCTTCCCCATTGACAGGCCTAGGGAGACATGGGCTCCAGTACATTGGACCTGAGGCCCCATCTGAAGGCCTCTTAAGCAGCTGCTATGTGCTATAGTTCTCTGGGATTGGGGCTCCTTGGAAAATGGCCCCCAGGAGTAGTAGAATGGGTTATTCACTGCACAGGGGCTAAAACCCAGCCTGTGTTTTGTTTGGCTAGCTGGGCATCTGCGGGGCTAGGTCCAGCAAAGGGATTCCTGTTTTCTGTTTTGAGGAAAGGTACACTAGGTGCTCATTGCATCCTGCCATGGACTTTCAGTCATGCTTGACTCAGAACCTGGGTCTTCCTTGTCAGATGAGCAGAGTTTTAGGCGAGCTCTCTGGTTTCAGTCTGCCAAATACACAATGCTTAGCACAGTGCTCCTGGACATTTTGTTTTGTAGATTGCAGTCCTGACTTAGAATGATGTAGAATGTAATTTCCATTGCAAAGAGAAACTCACACAGACTTATTTCTACTGGGGAGTGCCAGACCCCTTCTCTACTCCAACTAGCATCACCCTTGAAGCTTCCATGAACCACATTAAACTACTTAGGATTGCACATACAAGGGGGCATTTGTGCCTTTAACAGACAATCTCTCCATATCATGACACACCTTTAAGACTTAGCATAGTTTGCTTTCTCCAAATCCTTCTCCTCTACCAAGAAAAGAAAGGACACTGGCATGTTCTAGGGAGAAAGTCTGGATTCAGGTTCAATCTTAACAAGATTCTAGCTGAATCTATCCAACCACCTGGATCAACAATTTTTTTTCATCAATCAATCCTAAATGGCAGCTAGCCTCATGTCCTTGGTCAATGAACTGCCCAGCTTCCCTCCCCTGTTTTCCGTGATTAGCCCCACGATGTGAGTGGTCCTTTTACACATCTTTCCCAGGAAAATGAGAATGCTATTGAACTAGCCTTTCATTCATTTGTATAGTTCAGTAAGTAGAAGATGAAACATTGACATAGATCTTCTTTGAGTGAAATTAACAATTTACGTGTATAACTTGGAGAGAATGGATATCCAGTTGCGAGGTATGTTGGCTGGTTGGTTAGTTCAGTTTGGTTAGACCCTTGGACTGTTAGACCAAATTCTTGGGTTCCCGTCTTGAGTAATTTGAGAGCTAACACTGTTCTATAGCCATGGTCATGTCCCAAAATTCAGTCATCTCTGGGGGGATGTGATGCGACCCTGAGAGCACAAGGAGCACGGTTGGATCAGTGGAGATCCATCTCTATCTTTAGAACCAGAAGGTTGGAATGCATCCCCTGTTAGGAGTTTCCTGTTCATAAAAGAGCAGCAGGGGATTTTAAGGATGTGTTTTCTAAAAGTTTGGGCCTTTTATTTTATAGATATTACAAATCTCAGGAGCTTGGGGTAAAAACATCGCTGTAGGTTCTCTCAGGTATGCACTTGAGACTCTTGGAGGAGTCTGGTGCTTTCTTGTTCCAAACACTTTGTTAACAGACCTTGGAGAACCACTGAGCCAACACCACTTCTGGGCTGAAGCGACATCGACCCATGCTCTTTGTGGAGCTTCATCAAGACTGCTTTTTACTTTTCCCCATTTCCACTTCTCAAGAAAAGTAGCCTGAAGAAGTTTGGACATCTTATCCAAGTACCAGGCTTCCTCGCTCACACCGTCAGCCTATATTGTTAACCTGAAGAGTCTCCACGCCTTGCAGAACTCTATTTCTTCTCATTTGTACCTGAGAGTCCAAGTTGCCCACACAGTACACTCTTGGCTTGTCAACAAAACCCCTAAACATCCTCCACTTATGGCAACCAGGTCTTAAAAGAGATGGAGAAAGTGGGACCCCACCACTGTATATTAGGCCATTGTGTGGTGGAGGGAGTTCGTGGGTCTGGCCTCTGATTGCTCGTGTGTAAAGCCACATGGCCATGGCAAACCAGTCAAGAACGTGCCTTCTACATGTCCTGATTTCTCACAAGGAAAGACCATAGATGGGGAAGACCAAGAAGAGAAGGGATGAGCACCCACACTTTAACTGCCACCTACTTGAGTTATTGTGATATCGACATCTAGCAAATTTGAAATACTGTTTAAATGCAGTTAAAATGCATCTATGACAGGTAAATGACTAGGTTGCTTTCAACCCAGGATTCTTAGAATTTATGTTAAAAGGATAAAATAGTATATTAATCATACAGTAGTCATGTTTTACAAGGACTATCTCCAACAGAGGTGAAAAAAAGGCAAGCCAGCCTCAGTGGGCTTCCACCCTTCAGGAAGGGAAATGGGGCCCATTCCATCCACGTGGGGCTCCCTGCTCCCTGGCTGCCATATTGGTTCCCTTAGTTTAATGTTAACAGTACAGTCTGGGCCCCTGAACTTAGTAGCTTGTTTTTGACAAGTCAGTGAATGTTTGGGATAGAGTACTTCCTGTGTACCTATGTGCAAGTCATGGAGAGGCCAGGAACGAAAGCGAGAGGGGTCAGTGCTGTTCTGCAGACCACAGTATAGAATCTGCACTGTGCTCCTCCAGGAAGACTCACTCTTTCGCTGCTCTCAGTTGTTACCCCAGGGTGCCTTCTGTGCTGCTGTGTGGGCCTCCACTCTCAGCTGGGTGTGCATGAAGGCAATGCCACTTCTCGGCAAGGACAGCGGGCTTGCAGTTTGTCTTTACTCACTGTCAGAATGAAGGCCCAGGGAGCTTGACAAGACCGTGACCCTGGGAGTACTGGAGACAGTGCAGGGAGGCAGCTACTGCCCTCCTCTCCATTGCACACTACGCAAATGAGGTTGCCAGGGGCTGTAGGGGATGGAGGAACTCATGCAGAGGCAACTAACACACGCGCCAGCTAGACCATATCGCCAGAACCATGCAGCACGGCCACTCTCCGCACACAGAAAAAGCCGCCTACACAGCAACATCAGCTCGCGACCTGCACCAGCGTGACCGCCAGTTCACAGAGGAAAATTTGGATTTTTTTTTTTTTTTTTTGATGAGCTATGGTTCTAAGCCAATTTATTTCACAGTGTTGTTCAATGGTTCTCCCCAGGCTGCTGCAGAAGATGCACAAACCGTGCAGCCCCACGGGCAGTGGCTCCGCCTGCACCAGGGTGACCGCCAGTTCACAGAGGAAAATTTGGATTTTTTTTTTTTTTTTTGAGATGAGCTATGGTTCTAAGCCAATTTATTTCACAGTGTTGTTCAATGGTTCTCCCCAGGCTGCTGCAGAAGATGCACAAACCGTGCAGCCCCACGGGCAGTGGAGCCCTTCCTCCTCAAAACCCTGAACAGATCGAATGCCCAGGCCCGAGGCTGGGCGGTCAAGTGTGCACTTTCTGCAGAGGGAGCCGCTTGCTCTTTGGCAAATCCATCCCTAGAAGAGAAGCTGCAGACACTCGCAAAAGAAAAAGGGTGGTTCGAGGGGAAAAGCGCTAGACTCCCTCCCACCCCAAAGGAAACAACAACCAAAAAAGGAAAAAACAAAACAAAACAAAACAAAACCAGAAACCAAAACCAAAACCAAAAGAGATGTTGAGGGAAGAAAACCAACTGAACTTACCACACTGCGAGTGAACTTTTCTAGGGAAGTTCTACGACCTTGCTCACTTTCTGGCTTTAGGAAAAAAAAAAAAAAAGGTAGGGAGAAAAATACAGAAAAAAAAAATCTTCAGCTTCCACGTGGTTTTCACACAGCAGCAGCCGCAGCTAAAGAAGAACCAAAGCAAAATGGGGCGGAAAACAGGAAAAGAGAAGCAGCTGGAGCTGTTGGCAGAGTCCATGGGAGAGAAAGACACAGAAGCCATGAGAAGGGTGCTGCCTCCTTGGAGCAGTGAGCAGAGGGGTGTTTGCTGCTCCAGCGGCCAGGGGTCATGCCATGGGCTTGGACTAGGATCCATTGCTGCGGCTTTGCCTGAGGCCACAGGTGGCAGCATGGAGCTGCTTGCTCCGGCTGTCAGCTGGCCATGTCCAACTGCAGGAGCTAGTGGCTATGACCACCAGGCCCCAGCCAGCCTCTGGGGCTCCAAGCACTGACACAGAACAGACTAGCTCTGAGGCTGTGGAGTGTGTTGGAGGGACTGATGTGACGTCAGGACATGGCTGTTGGGGAGCTGAAATCATCAACTCATGGGCAAGTCTGGGTTAGGACTGCGCAGGGGCAATCAGAAAGTTTGCTGACTTTAGTGACTTCCTAGTGACCCTCGTTCTGTGTCCTTTGAGTGAGGAGGGTCAACCCATCTTCTTGCAATGACAAAGGAGCTTGGACCTCAGAAGACAATAGTATGGGGAGTGTTCAGGGCCCAGCCTGGTGACATTTTCCAAGGTATTCTTATGACAGGTTAGAAGAGGTGCAGGGACCTCCCTGCAGAAGTCTCAACTGAGATGTCCCCAACAGGAGCAAGAGGAGGCAAAGTTTTCAAACATTGTCTCAGGCCTAGCCACTTCCTATCATAGGAGGAGAGGTAAGGGTGCACATTCAGGAGAGGAGAATTATATCCCAATACCTGCTAGCTTAGCCTAGAGCCCGGTTCCAGGCTCCTGAGCCTGAGGCTGGGAGATTGGAGAGTACACACACTCACATGGACGCACACATACACACCAGCAAATAACTGATATTAGGGAGCTGAAGAAGCAGCCAGGTGTCCGAGGGTCTGCAGGATGGACTGAGAGTGAAGGGGCAGGCAGAAGGCAGCCATCTGTCTGTGTGGATGGAGTTGGAGGCCTCCTTGGCAGCCAGGCCCCTTCTACTCTGCCAGCTGCCAGAAGACAGATGATAGACTGCAGAGGAAAACATGACACAAACGACACAGCGCCACAGAGTTGGGCAGGGCACTGAAGGATCCATGCTTGGCCCTGGGTACCATGCCAAGTCTCCACTCTGGGGATGGCAGCACTCGACTTTACTCCCACAGGCACCCTGGGTGGTATACATTTGGCTCAAGTCAGACCAGTCCTAGGCCCTGTGGCCCCATCGTGGGCCTGCCATTCTTGTGGGCTCCCACGTTGCTGCTCACTGAGGGGAGCCACTGGCCTGTCTCGTTCAGGTTCCTCTGCCTTGCACTGGCCCTCTGAGCTGCCCTGGAAACCCTCATCACTGGTACTTAATTCTCAACTGTCATAGAGCAGCCCTCAAGACTCTTCTCACCTACCCTTTCAGAACCTGCTCTTCAGAGTCACTACCTTTCCTTTGAACACATTAGAAAGAGAATAATCAGGGATGAAGGATCAGAAGGCTGAGACTCCTAACTCCATCAGGGGCTGTTCTCAGCAAAAAGTGAGGCTAACTCATACCCCCTCTCTGCTGGAATTTGTAAATCTCACATACCTTTCATGACCTGGGCATTCACATCACCTCTTTGAGCTCAACCCTGAAATGAGACACACTAGGCCCACCTGAAAGTGTAGTAACAAATCTGATCTAGAGACTCTCAGGAAGAAATGGATGGAAAAGTAGGTTGTAGGTTTTGTCTTTGTTTGGGGGGAAAAATACTCCTGGATATTGAAAGGGTGCTGGTATCTGCAAGGGCTTCCTACCTCAAGACCATCCCTTAGATTAGGGGCTGGGTAGATAATTCTGGTGAATTCTATTTGTAACATTTCACAGGAAGGCTGTCAGTTCCTTCCTCACTCAACTGACCCCTAAGAGGTTCTCCTCTACTAAGGAAGAATCTGTGGGCATGATCATCTCCCCACTTCCCAGTTTAAGGTTCATTTTCTCTTTGCATTCTAATCCACAAGGAGACTAAGCAGCCTCTGACTTCTCCTCTAGATGTGTAGACAGGCCCACATTGGCAAACTGCTGACCCTGAGACTGTCCCCGGACTGATCAGTTCTGGTGTCTTTGAGACACAAAAACAGGAGAACTTACTTTGACCTTCTCCCATGATATCTAGGCTTATGATACCAAAAGTTTCTATAACCTTTGTCTTTCCTCTAACTCTTGAAAAGATAGGCATCAGATCTACTTGGAGGGTATCAGCTCCCTCCATCAGAGCTCCTTCAATGACATCCTCCAGCAAGGGAGTTAGCAAGAGATATCGCACACTTAGGAGAGCAGCTACACCCATGGGCAAGGATGCAGGCACCCAGCGGGCTGGGTTCTGACAGTCTGGATGCTCCAGAAGTCCTTTTCCCCTTCTCAGACTGCTGGACCTCGAGCGGGTTATAGATGCTCTTCTGGATGGGACTCTCTGCTATCTGTGTGCTACCAAGCAGATACGCAGACAGGATCCTGGCACATGAGGTTGACAGTACACAGAGGGAAGGGCTTTGTGGTTGAGAGAGAGGGAGTCTGACAGTGAGCAGGTGGATTGACCACCACACACTTAGGAATGGTGCTGGGAGGCTAGGAGGAGAGGATGGGGCATGGTGTGGTCGTAGACTTTGGTGCAGGTCGAGCCATATTACATGTCAGCCTCATATCAGAGCTGAGAAGGGCAGAGTGTTGGTAGGCACAGAGAAGTCATGAGTGTGTCTCTTTCCTCCCCTTTCCCAGCCCCCAGCCCTGTCCCTGCTCTTCCTTCCCTCCTCCCAGAAATCCAGCTGAGCTCATCCCTGCTTTAGTCACCCCTCACCACCTGTATGCTGAGGGGCCCTGGACACCAAAGCCTTGATTCCAAGGCCTTTGGGGAACCACAACTTAATTCTAAATGGAGGAGCAGGAAGGAGCTGGGCTGTAGTTACTTTTTGGTTAAAATAGACATTGTGGATGAGGGAGAGGAAAGGAGAATAATTCCTGGGGATTCCAGATGCTGGGCTGCCCTCTTGAAGCTGACCAAGTTTTCAGTCCAAGAGGGGACTTGCCTCCCTTCTTGCTCATACTTATCTTTGGGTTGGTCAGGGAGAGGAAGCCTATGGTGAGGGGGCTGGACTCTGCAGTGGGGAGCTCTCTCTGGTGTCCTAAGGGATTTGTGCTGGCGTCCCGGCCAGCCCTGCACCCCTGTGCTGAGCCCAAGTTGCCTTGGTAATTAGCCACACTCCCCCAGTGGGCAGTGGAGGCAGGATGCCACATCCTGGACCTTGGGGCAGGAAGGCTGTTTTCCACTGGAGTGGGAGCAGATAGAAGGGTAAGAAGAAAAGAGAAAATAAATAAAATCCAAGGGATGATATTCTCATTTCACACCAGCAGCAAGCAGCAGGCAAGAGCCAACAGTGCTAAGAGAGGCAAGCCTGCCCTTCCCAAAGATACCTTCTTCTTGGCCAGCAGCAAGTCCTGGTAAGCATTTGACCGGAGGAAGCGGGCATAGCTGTCACTCTTCATCAGCTTGTAGATGTGCTCCTGGGGTAGAAAAGAGGCAGGGAGACATAAGAAGGAATTCAGCAGATGCTAAGGGAAATTGCAACTCAGTTGACCGCAGTTTTGGGTAAAGAAACAAAGGAACCTAGGTCTATTTGTCTGTGTCCAGAAGAACTTATACATGTGTCCTCCTCCACTCTCCACTGAGAAACACCAAATAAAACATATTTTCTCTCTTAGGGTAAAATATCCTTGAGGATCATGTCCCAAAAGGCTTTGCAATTGGGCCTGGGTACCATGTTGGGTGGGGGTGGGGGTTAGATATTTCTTAAGGATTAAAACCACAGGCACAGCAATAAGAAGAAACACACTTTTGATACATTCGATGACTTGAATGGATCTCAGGGGAATTATGATGAGTGAAAAAGCCAATTCCCAGAAGGCTACCTACTATATGATTACATTTATATACATCCCTGACATAACAAGTTATAGAAGTAGAGGACAGATTAGTGGTTGCCAGGGGTTTGGGATGAGGGAGGAGGAGAGGGGGAGGTGTGGTTATAAGAGGTGACAGGAAGGATCTTTGTTATAATGGAACAGTTCTGAATTCTGACTTGTAATAAAGTTGTATAGAACTAAGTTCACATATACATACATGAATAACATTGGGAAATATCGCTTAAATTGTGGCTGTGATGTTGTACTATAGTTCTGTAAGATGTTATTACTGGGGCAATCTGTATTATTTTTTACAACTGCATGTGAAACTGAAAGTATCTCAAAGTAAAGTTTAAATTTACAACAATTCACACGCAATAATACAGTGGGTCAGTTTGTGCCTACTCGGGTCACTATCTGGGAAAGGGGCTCTTGGTCACCAGATCATGGGGCATATGGGCAAATATGCCAGGCCTGAGGCTCATGTCCAGGAAGGGCAGGTGCTGTGGCACGGTGCCTCCTCCTGGGCTTCTAGCAGCATTACATTCTGGCTGTGGCAATGAATTTCACCCCCTGACTCCCAGCTAATTCCCACAGCCTCATGGCCCTTTCCTAACAGATGTGCCTTCATCAAAGACAGGAAAATCCTGGCCTATTAAAGCAAAGAACTTGTCAGTAGGAAAAGGATTATTGATCCATTAAGGTGGAATTCAGCTCAGCTATACAGAAAGCTTGGCTATTCCGAGAGAGGACTAATTAAAGCTGGCAGTAGCACCATGTAAGAACTTTCAGGAACCGGATGGATTCCTGAATATGGACCTCTGCAAGTGGCTGCTCTTTGCTGTAGGTTAGGTTTCTTTGATTCTGGCTTTTAAAGAGGACACCTGGGGGAGAAAAGGAACTTCTCACTGGCTAGGTTTAGTCCAAAAGTGAACATTTGACATTTGATATCAGTTAGATGTTTTCATGTTCTTTTACGCAGGGAATACAATTTGAAGTAGCATGTTGTCTTTGGGGTAGTTATGTGGTTTCATTTTTAGTGTACCTTAATGAATGATATTTTTGTGCTGATTTATTATCATTTAAAAATCTAGAAATAAAAAGAAAAAAAAGAGGAAGAGTGAGCCTTTACTAAAGAGGGGGGGATTGTTAGTGGTTGGCCTGGTAGAAGAAACATCTTTCCCATCTGTGCTCATCGTTCATACATGTAGACAGACAAAGGCCCCAAGGCTTGGGGAAGGGTAGGGCATGGGGTCGGGAGTGAAGAACTGAGCAGTGAGGAGACAAGGCTCAGCTGAGAGACAGAATGGTCGTTGAGGACCTCTTCCTTGGCTGCTCTTCCCAGGGGAGGATATAGAAGAAGGAGGCTAGAGGCGTATTTTGAGATGCTTGGCCAGAGAAAGATGGCACAACAGACAGGGCTTGCCAAGACTCTCCCTACTCAGTATAAAGAATGCATGCACAATAGCCGAGATGTGGAATTAAGCTCAGTGTTCATCAGTCAACAAACTGATAGAAGAATGTGGTATACATACATAATGGAATACCATTTAGCCATTAAGAAGAAAGAAATCCTGGGTCAGCCAGTGGCATGGGCGACTGCGTGGGTTGAGTCCTGGAACCAATGGCTTGAAAAATACACCACGTGTGTGTGTGTGTGTGTGTGTGTGTGTGTGTGTGCTCAAAATCCCAAG